TGTGGCGGGGGCTGTGGGGGGGTGGGGGGCGGCTGCTGCTGCTGCTGCTGCTGCTGCTGCTGCTGCTGGAGATAGTGAATGAGAGACTGCTGCCCTTGTCCTGCTGTCAGAGGTGACATCTTTTGAGGAGCAGACTCTGAGGCAAAGTGAGACAGTGGTTTGGTGTTACTGAAAGAAAACTGGTCTTGGCTAACAGGGCTCTCATTCACCAGACCTGGCTGTAAGCTACTGGATGGCTGTTGCATAATTATGTTCATATTTTTAGACTGGTTTGAAGTCATTGATTTAAAAAGCGAGCTCTGCATACTTGTGGGGTTGCTGGTGGGAGTGATGTTAGACATTAATGTACCTTGAGGACTGAAGGGCTGCTGATGCAGAGCTGGGCTTGACAGCTTTTCTGGCCTGTATGGTGGAGAAGGTCCAGTATTTGTGGAGGCCATGCTGGCAACCAAGTTGTTCTGTGGACTTTTAATGTTGTTTGCGGGTAAGCTGGCTGCTGCCAGGGTGGGCAGCATGGAGCTCTGCGGGCTGAAGGGCTGCTGGTTCAGAGCCGGACTGGAGAGCTTCTCAGACCCATAAGGAGGAGAGGGGCCATTGGATGGGGTGCTGCTGGAAGTCATGCTTGAAAGCAGAGTGTTTTGAGGACTCTGAATGTTGTTTCCTGGTAAATTATTAGCAGGCATGCCAGACACCATAACATTTTGAGGACTGAAAGGTTGATGGTGTGGGGACGATCCTGCCCTGTAAGGCGGAGAGAGACCAGGAGGAGACATAGTTGGCCAGCTAGGAGCCTGTACTTGTTGCTTAGTAGTAGACACCTGCTTGCTAGCTGCCAGCTGCTTTAGCTGCTGAGCGTGCCAGTTGGAGCCAGGTATGTTGGGTAGGGGTACGGGAAGCATAGGTGGTGGCTGGTTCTTGCTCTGAGCTGCTGTAGAGATGGGCGATGCAGCAGGTTTGTTTGAGGGAGGAACTTGGAAGTTAGCTCCAGCAGATGATGGCCTCATCTGAGGAGATCCTCCACTGGTTGGATTGCAGCCCGGCGAAAAATCTTTGTTCGCAACATGGTTCTCCAAGTGGGAATTCTGTGGGGAGGACTTTGGAGTGGTACTTATGCTCGGTTGAGAATGACTCAGCCCAAGTGGCTCTTCAGCCTTGCTGCACAAAATCTTCTCCAGATCCAGGTCATTGGGAGAAGGATCAGGCATTTTCGTCAGCTCTTCCAATAGATCTTGCAGCTCTTGGTCCACAGACTGCAAGCTGTTTCCTTTCTCATCATAGTGGACAATGTTATTGTTTTGCCCTCCTATTGACCCCTTCTGATTTATTTCCGTGTTGGGTGGCACTGAAAACGGGGAACCAATGCCACCGCCATTCATGTGATTGTTTTCGAGGAGCACTGAATGACCGGCAACTCCCAGGGAAGAAGCGCTGTGACTGGCGGAGAACGGAGAGCTTTGCATTTCTGGACACGCCACATTGGGATTGGCACCTTGGCCCATGGCAAGGTTTACGTCATCAAGACAAAGTCTTTTACTGTCATTTGGGAAGATGACATCAGGCGCGCCACTGGAGGCAGGAGAGCTATCATCTTCCAGTTTTCTTTTAATGGATCCCTGTAACTGGGAAAATAAAAACGGAAGAAAGGATCCGTTATTGACCTTATTCTAACATGCTCTGAAGCTCCATACTGTAACACTGGGTTGGACATAAAGAAAATTAAATCATACAATTAAAAAACCAATCATGTGAGACAAATTCAATCAGGATTTAAGTGGGTGCAACTTCACTGAAATCAAGAGAGTTCTAGTCCGACAAAGGCTAAATCTCACATGTTGGCCTTAAAACAGATGTTAAAGCGATAAAATACTGTCATGTGAACTGTAATAGAAGTTTTTTAAATAGTTTCTGGTACCATTTCAATTAAGACATTACACTCCCTGAATAACAAACATGCCAACATTTTTATGGTAACATTTTTTAGGTCTAAACAATGGCAGATCTGAATGAAACCCTGGACTGAATTTAGTGACCTTCTGCCAGTGACTCAGATTAAATTCAGACCTGAGACAACGAAATTGTTTTACATTCTTTATAGGCAGAACATCTGAAATAACTGGCATACTTTCTAAACAAACCAAACCAAAACAAATTCTCAACTATCTATCTAAACAGACTTTCAAGCTTCCTAATCACAGACGTTTTAGATTTCAGAAACCAGTAAATAATTCTAAGGCAGTATGGGCTTTGTTCTTTTGAAGGATTGCAACTCATTCATAAAAATGGAAGTGTTTTCAAAATACAATTATATAAATATCTTGATCTACAAGAAATGGTAGAGTTGTAAATCCACAAATCTTAGGGAAAAAACCTGCCTTATACATATAAAGAAAGTGAAACGGAAAACAGCTCTTCTAATACTAATTCAGTGTGATATGGGAACCTCTTCCAAATGTAATCATCTGTGGCTTTCAATTTTAACAGGCATGACCTGTATGTCATAGGATTAATCAGACATTAACATTGCTGCTTCAAGTTAAGGGAAATAAGCATTATGTCCTTGTTTATCAATAGAGGGAGGCAGCATTTAGAAAAGTATCTAATCAGCAATGGGAAAACCATAGAAAGTCACTGTTCCTCTAAGCCGGCTCACAGTAAAGCCTCTCCCAGCCCTGGCCTACAATTGCAAGTGCTGCCAGTCATCTCGTACCATGAAAAATATTCACATCTAATAACAGCTCATATCACCAGAAAAGCCCCACCACCTAACCCCGGTGTAACCAGATCCACTCTAGGGCTGTGGTGGGTATGACTAACTTCTAAATTTTACACTCATTATTAAGCACATCACAGTTTTGCCTGAAAGTCACTACACAACGGCCAGCAACTTTGGTGCTCTCAGAGGACAGTGTCACGGGACGATCACCGTAGGATGTGCGGAGGCTGCAGGGCACGAGGTGGGCACACCTTCTGCGGCTGCTTCTGCAACGTGCACGTGAAAGTCACTGCAAACGGCCAATGTCCACCCCTAAATTCAGCCTATGTTCAGGCAATCGACCACAAACGTGCACTGTTTACCTGGGAACATAGGAGAGCTGCCTGGTGGCTCACTTGGCTGGACTCACACGAGTGCTCTCTTCATCACTTATTTCTAAATTGGTGGGCAGAGAGAAGACTGCAGGTTTCTGCCTACAGTTGCTTAGGCTATAGATGCGGTTTAGGATTAGTATCAGACATTGCCATGCTAGTATCCAGCTTACACAGACATTTGGAGGAGAGCGAGAGGATACAAGTTAATTGTACATGATCATCACGGCAGATGGAAAAGCAGGTCTGCGTACTACGGAGAGCTGCTGATCAGGTTTTAGGAGGAGTTCACCTACCCTCCATCAACAGACACAGCAGTTTTGAATGGCATCGTGGCAAAGAGACCTTTTTACATGGATATTTTCCCCCTACCCTCTAACAGTTGTCCCGTACTAGAGCAATCAGTGCCTCTCTCCTGTGACCTCCAGTTGCATTGCTTTAACACGGGTTGCACTCAAAAACCACTGGCAAGTGAGAAGCGATGCTGAACGGGGAGAGCTGCTTTCAGTGCACCATTCACTGGTTACCTGACAGCCCTCTTCGGTCAGCAGTGCTACGCGTTGTTTGAATTGTTGCTCTGCAAGAGACCGCCTTTGCATCACAGCCAGAGACAGCTGAAGCATCAGTGATTTGATTATTCCTCTGGGCTGATGAGGCCAAAATTTGCTTAGCTTTAGGAAATGGAACAGGGCCTAAATCTTCTCCCAAGTGTTGGTCTAATGATGGATGAAATTGTTTTCCTTCATTTTCTTTGCTAAAACTAAGCCAGAGTTGCATGTTTCAACAGATGTTGCCCTGTGTAGGCTGAAACATGTTGGTAGAGCATAACTACATATATTTAAACCCAGACATGTATAGAGAATCTTTACAGGGGCTTCACACATCCAAAACAAACACAGTGTGTTCCCAAGTCGCACCCTGGGAACCTTCGGGCAGGAAGTGGTGGGGGATCTCCCATACTTGGCCAGCTGACATGCTGGCACACATGTCCTTGCCAGTGCTTCTTTTGCCATAGGACATTCCTATGCTCTGAGTTACTGGAGAAAAATTTGGGCTTTCTAAACACTTTGAAAAATAGTTTTTTAACTGTTGCACTGGGGAGTAAATCTGATGGGAAAACAAAACTCCATTTCCCCAAGACTATTACTAGATATAAACAGATAAATTAAGGCCATAGCTTTCAGAGGGCATGGGGCATTCCAAAACGGGGACAGGATTTTTAAATAGGATTGCTGTTGCTTAGCCCTCGTGAGAAGCCTGGCTGTAAGAGAGGCAGTGAAATTAGCTGGGTGTTATGTTGTCTTGAAAAGCAAGACTCGTATTTCCCAGGTGAATATTTGCACAAGGACCATAAAATCCAGAAGACCAATTTCCCCCAGTGCAGGCAGGTATAACTCCACACAGTTTAGTAGCATTGATTTTGCTTAAGATAGATTTGACTACAGCCCCAAATTTGAGAGAGAAAAATACCATCCTTTAAGCAATGAAACAAATCACAGAATAATTTTGGTTGGAAGGGAGGTCTAGGTATCAGCAGCCCCCTGCTTCAAGTACATCACAAATGAAAAAAATAGATGACAGTATTTCACCAGGCACTTAAGTATGAAGTATCAACTACAGACAGAAATCCCTTCTTGGGCTGGACGGGCTAGCGGAGAGGTTTGCTTCAGTATTCCCCACTGAAACACGGGTGGTTGGTCCTCCCGTGCAGCACGGCTGGGCTGGTGCTGTCTGTGAGGAGCCAGCGTTTTTCTCCCCAGCTCCCAGTGACTGCTCTCCATGAACGTGCCACTCTGGCAGCCTTGACCAGCGCAGGGGACAGTAATGCAGTTTCATATTATGGGGACGCTGGCTGGCTCTGACATGCCAAGAACAACGGTGGCAGGAGATCATCGCCCAGGCACCACGACTTTTAGGACCAGGAGCTCCTGACCTAACTCATTCAAGAAGCTGGTTGTTGCAGATCATTCATCCAGTACTCTCCAATGTCTCAAGACCATGTCTTTAAAACCTATCTACCCTTTTCTAGACTCTTCCCTTGCTAAAAACATTTTTACTGCCCATTTCCTTTGTCTGGCCCTGGATTCCCCAGGAAGGAGCTGACTTATTCCGACTCTTTCTCCCCTTCTTTAAGAGGGCTTGCGCTATTTGACAAAATCAACAGAAATAAGAAGAGCACCAAAATATGTTCTTCTCCCTTCTCTGCTGATTAGTATATTGGGCAGCTCTGTTTCAAATTGAATACCTGACAAGTGAACAGAAATATTTTAGAATATAAACACATGCACACTTCAGCTGACTGGAGGTTGTATATGGCTAAGTATGGGAAAGCTTCATTCATATGTGCAAGCAACGACAAAGCAGATGAGCAACAAATGGGCTCTTGCAACCTTGTCAAAATTCATTAAAAGGCATTAGCATGCACAGGCTAACTTCTGTTTGGGAATACCTGGGAAACAAAGGCAGGCCCTCCGATTTGGGAAATACCTGAATATGAGGTCTCCATTATCTCAGGTTTGCTTTTAGAAGTGAGAGTGCCATGATCCCAGCACTACTACCCTCTCAAAACCAACAGGCTGTCTTTCTGGGAAAGACCCAAGTTACATACGAGTAGCGCTGCTAGCTTGCAATGGCGGTATTACACGAATAAATAATAACTGTTTACCCTGCTCCGTCCAAGGAAGCTATACAGCTGTGGTTACAAACATCTCATTTGTCACACGCTACCTCTTCGCGCAGAACCGATTCCCTACGGGCGGGCAGCGTGCGGAGCAGGCTTCTCTTGTGCAAGGAAGAAAAGGCAGACTCGGCAAGCAAAACTAGTCCTCGGCTTCACCCTCTCCTAGACTGAGCTCTCTGAAGTTACCCACTCGGGTGACTTTTGGCGTCAGGCACTTTCCAAACTCAGGAGGTGGTGCTGGCCTTGCGTAACTGAACAGTTCTCAACGACGGGAGAAAGAAAGACTGGAAGTGGCAAAAACTGAAGCAGAGAGATCAAATTGTTAATAAATATACACTGTGGTGGTTCCATTGGATGTTAATAACCAACTGAACGGGCATCTCTGGACTGGCTGCCTGCCTCGCTGCCACTCAGCCTTCCTCCTTTCTTTAATACATCAGCTGTCCTCAGTTGCCGCTCCAGCTCTCCACGTGAGCCGGGCTGCCCCATGGCCCTGCTGCCAGCCCCTGTAAATTCTCCACCCGTCACTTGCTCCTTCGCCTGCGTGGTATCTGGGAGGAAAGAGCCACCGCGGCCCACCCGGGAGAGCCTCGTTTCTCCAGCCTTGCAACGATCCCCCTTCCGCCAGAAAGAAGCCAAACCTAACCAGAGATTCCTATTTAGGTCAACGTAATGCAGAAATGAGAGAGAGAAAAAACGTTAGGCAAGATATTTCTGTGCCTCTTCCTGGCTTCTGCAGCCTGTCAGAGATTCAGGCCTTGATTTACAGCAACCGCAGGGTGCTGATTATTGATCTGCAACCACCCCACCCCACTCACTGCCATTGAGAGATCCAACCTACAGCAGCGATTCCCA